GTATAAAAATTTTATATAATAAATAAATATAGATATATATGTATATCTTTTTTTTCAGGTTATGTACGATAAATTGAAACGACGATCATTGGTTCCAGCGATACAACAAACCGTTAATAATACCACTGGTATTGGTCCTATTGGCGTAGGTTCAAGACAAAGTAGTGCCTACGTAAGTTCTAATAAATGTTCCAAAAATACTCGTTATAAGCATTCAAAAAAAAGATTGTATTATCTTAATTTAAGGCTTCTGGTATACAACGCCAACATACTTGGAATGGTAACAATGGTCAAGGTAACAAATAAAAATCTGCCTTATTTTATCTTTGTAAATTATAATTCTAATTACATCTGAATCTTAAGAAAACAACGTTCATATGACCCAACAATTACCAATACCGCAACAAGACTATTCGGCAATGCGTGAACAAACTCCATTTTCTTCTAGTAGTGGAAAACGGATGACCGATGGTAACGAAATGAATCCTAATTTTCAACAAAAAGGTACGTGATTTTACACTACTTCTTTTTGTTCCTGTTAATTAATATAAATATGGTCATATGCTTCTTTTTTTTGTTCATGACAAGCAGCTTCATTTACACAAACACGGACTCCTTTTTCGATGGTATCTACACAAAATAGGGGTGGCATTAGATGATCTAATGTTTGTGATCTAATGTTTGTGGTTTTGACGGAAAAACATATAATAACTTCATCTATTCTAACCAAAGTTTTACTTATAACTTTGCTTTGTTTAAAAAAAAAACAAAAAAAAATAGTTTTATATTTAAATAAAAAACATCTATTTCTTTGAAAAAAATATCTTCTCGATATGAATTTTTTTTTTAAATCAAGCATATAATATTACGAAACGTAAAAACCTCGAGAAACGTTACGCGAAATTCTCGCGCAATCAATGCTGTGTCCCACCTAGTGCCCCGTAAACAATGCTCAGAAAACAGAAAAAACAGAGATCCTATTGTAACCACCTAAAAAGGAAAGCACTTGAAAATCCTGAAAATATCAATAACAATTCCAATATAGATGATGGGCTAATTCAATATTTCCTATCCGGGCTTAGCTCGTGGCCACGCTTTCGTGCAGCGGCGTATTTTAATTTCTATGAATGGAAGATAAAATTATATATATATATAGATATTAGTATTATATATAGAAGAATAAAGAATTTGGATATAAAAGTGAGCCTCTAAATTTAAACTTGTAAATAAAAATTTTTAAATAAAAAACTATACGCATAAATTTTAGTGTTCTAAATAAAATAAGTTATTTTTTATTTAATATATATTTATTTTTTTTATATAATTTGTCTAATATATATAATATAAATTAAAATATTTACAGTATAGTAAATAAAATCAAATATATAACTATATAGTGGTATTTTGAATTAAAAAAAAGTAACTATAAAGTTAATATATAGATTTCGAAGTTTAATTAATTAATCTATAGTATATTCAAGATAATTATACAATATATAAAAAATTATTTTAAACAAAATTTTTTTGTTTTATAATATATTAAAATATATATTATATTTGATTTAATAAACTATTAAATTAATTAATTAAATATTTATATTATAAAAATCAAGCAAAATTTTTAATATTTAATACTTTTGTTAATGATTACTTAATTTTTTTACAAAACTACAGTAAATTATAAAAAATATAATTAAAACTATATTTCTGATTCTATACAAGTAAATTTGTGACAAAGAGTTCGCTAGTCGAGCCTGCTTTAAAGTTCTAAGTCAGGATTCTTAAGGGATATACCCTAATTCAGTTATATATAGAGTAACTTACATACGGCACAAAGGGTTTAAATAGGTAACCCCCTAGTTGGGTTATAGGTATGGCATCTAATGTAGAACTTAGTAATAAGCAGACTACTTAAATAGGCAATTAAAGTTGTACGTGTGGCTAGTATATATTCTCCAAAAATATATATACTATACGGGCGCTGAGAGGGGCTTAGCATATGGTAAAAAGTTAACCAGTAACTGAATAAAGAAACCCGACCAAGAGGTCACCTTAACACCAAAAAAAAACAAGTAAATTTGTTATTGACAAAGCTAAAAGATATAAAATATTAAGTAGTAAATTATGTTTTAGTAGTTTGTATTAAAGTTGCTTTTTTAAACAGATTCTTTTGTTATATTTAATATTTAAATCAAAAGAATATTTTAAAAATAATTTGTAACAAAATTTTTATTAAAAATAAAAACTATTAAAAAAACTTAAAAAGTTAATCATATATTAATTTTTTTATTTTTTTAAAAAAGTTTATTAAAAATAAATATTTTGATTTATTTTTTTTAAATAATTAATATTGTTTATTAAATTTTAATTAAAAATTCTTATATGATTAAATAATAAAAATATATATTTAATTAGTGATTTGCTACTTAACCAGAGAGAGCTTATAGTGTAATGTGATGCAATTTATATATAGAAATAATAATTTTTAGAATGTGAGCTACTTCTATCTAAAACTTTTTTTATACTAAATTAATTACCTTTAGGTCTCTAATTGAAGCTGTAGAGCTCATCAAGATGAATTTAATAGTGGTTGAATCATTAAAATTGGCTTTGTAAATCATGAACTATTTTTAAAAAACATTTTGCCAACTATATAAACTTCTCTTTCAACAATAGTATTGTTGAAAGAGAAGTTTATATAGTCAGCAAAATATTTTTTGAAAATATTCATGATTTACAAGGTTGATTTTAATGATTTAACCACTATTAGATTTATCTCAATAAGTTTTACAATTTCAATTAGAGGCCTAAAGGTGATTAACTTAGTATAAAAAAAAGTTTTAGATAGAAGTAGCTCACATTCCAAAAACTCTAATTTCTATATATAAATTGCATCACATTACACTATAAGCTCTTTTTTGATTGAGTAACAAATTACCAAGTAAAGTAAATTTAAAAAAATTAAAAAATTTTTTTTTAATAATTATTTATACTAAACCTATAACCAACAAAATAAAACTTGTTGAAAAAAATAAAAGAAATAACTATACAAATAATAGGTCTTATAAAGATCAAAGTTTTTTTTTTTTTTTTAATTTGGCGGCCTTGCCTATTACTCTTTATTGGAAAGTACTAAAACTTATATCAACAGGGAGATACAATTTTCTATGCTATATTC